TTTTTTTTTTAAAGGTAAAAATCAATGATTTTAAAGAAAGGAAAGTTGATAGGATGTGTCAGTTCCCACTCAGAAGTCAGGCTTTACCAGAGAGGGTTGCTGTTGGAAACACAGATCCTGTTGCTCACCTCAAAATGTTTGGCTTCTTGTTTGAGAATTAACCTAGACCTTCAACAAGTAGAAAGTGTAAAGAGAATCCTTGAAAAGTGAAAAGATGGAAACAGGATGTTTCTGTTTTTTACAAAACCAAAATTTAAATCAAAGATGTAATTGCTTAGAGGATCAGAATTTGACCACAACTTGCTATAACAAAGTCTTTTTCTTTCAAGGTATCGAAGCAAATTAAAGCTGATCCGAGCTAAGGAGGAAGACAGTGGCCATTATACTATTGTAGTTCAAAATGAAGATGATGTGAAGAGTTATACTTTTGAACTCTTAACTCAAGGTATGTAAGGGCAGGAAAAGATAATGTTACTCAGTGAACACTTGTTTCTCAAGGAGAACCTGACACTTTACTCCCAGGTCTCGGAACTTTAGAGCAAAGCAGGATGGGAGATGTTACTTACAGGAAAAGCATAGTTGGATTTATGAATCCACATAATTCTGGGAGTTTCTAGGCTCTTCTGGAAAATCTGACTGGGAATTCCCAGGCTCCAACAGCTTCCTCAGCACCTGTTTCTCAATCTGGCACCTTCTGATTCTGGAGGAGTGAAGTAATGCTTTTTGGTCCAGAGGACCTTGGATTGTTCCAGAAAGTCTTGCCATTTTTTGCTTAGCTTCTCTTGTAGCTATTGCACAATGGCTTTTACCAGAATGGGGTGTCCATTCAGCACCTATTCATTGGGTTCCTATCATGTGCCATGTATTGTCTTAGGTGAGCTCATTTGACCCTCACAGTAAATCTCTGCGAAGAATGAGCTATCTCTTATTTGATCACAGATTAAAACTTTAATAACTTAATAATGTCCCACAGGTACTCTTTGAAAATTGTTGCTTTAGATTTTACTTTAGCTAAACCCTTGGGTGAATCACAGCTGGAATATAATTTCAAGAGCTGCCTTGCCTATCGAGTCAAGTAACCACAGAATCTTCACACTTTCCTCACTCCTCAGAGCAGAAACCCTACCATGCTAATACGGTAGAATTGCTCTTTACCATATGGGTGATGGGTGCATCCAGTCTCTAGTGTCGCTAAATACGCAGCCAGGTTCAGCGTTCACAGGTCACCCGGACAAACTCAGAACTCATATTCCCTGTGTCTTTCTCAGAATTGTAGGACATGAACCATTCACCTCCAATTTCCTTCTGCCCCTTACAGTTCCCTCCTCTATTCTGGACTTGGTCGACGACCACCACAGCTCCACTGGGGGACAGACGGTGAGGTGCACAGCTGAAGGAACACCTCTTCCTGAGATCGAGTGGATGATTTGCAGGGATATTAAGAAGTATGAAAGTAGACCTTCCTTTCTCTTTTGTGGTTAGAATATTTCTCGCTTAGCACAAAGGGCCTCAAGTGAATTTTATTTCTTTGGATGGCTCTTTGTCTTTGTGATTCTGGTTTGACCTAAGTTTTGTGAACTACAAGTTAGGTTCTGAAAGGGTCCCCTGTGTGTGTGCTGTGTGTGCGTGTACTTGTGTATTTACAGGTAACCGTAAGCAGGCCCCTGGCTTTCATCAGACTCTCAAAGGGTCTCTAATCCCAAAATGGGAATATTTTCCCCAGTTATGTTTATTGAGGTAAGGGTGGCTTACGTCACTAGCTGTTTATGTCTATCTTTCCCTCTCCAGATGGAGAGTTTCAGTTCTCTCCAAACGCATATTTGTTATCTTTTTTTTTTTTAAAGATTTATTTATTCAGACAGAACTGGGGTACAGGCCAGAGGTGCAGGGGCAGTGAGAAGCTTCACCAGAGACAGAGTGGGGAGCAGAACAGGCAGACTGATGAAGTACACTGCTGAGGGGAGCAGCGGGCGGGTCAGGAGAGGCCTGCCTCGCCATGTGGGTCACCTCTGGGGCAGGCGGGGATTGAAATCATGCTGAAGCGGCTTTAGCTTCTCAGTGCTACGCTTTAACCTGCTGCGCCACCTGGGAGGGTCTGCACGTTTGTATCTTGTGCCCACCACCCAGTGCCCAGCAACACCCCTCGTGCTCCTGGCCTCTCCTTCCCCACACCCATATGGCCATCCTCCTTTCTTGTTGCCTCATTGACAAAGGGAATTACAAGAGCTGCTGCTGTCGGGATTTATTACTGTCCTGGCCCACATTTTTACTTTGCTCTCATTCCTATGTAGCGAACTTATTTGGCTCCTAGCTTTTTGTGAGCAAACGTGAAAATACCACCATGAGGCTGCTCACTGCCTTGTTTGTACCAGCTGTTGGTGGGGTCAAGTCATCAGCCTCCTTCCAGCCCTCTACTCCTCAACCCCTTCAAACCGAAGTGAGCTCTGTGCTCTCTCTTCCACCCTCGGGGACTGTTCAGAAGCCAGGGTTCCTTCTCCTGAAGGGTGAGATGCCCAGACTCACCCTCTTCTAGGGCTAAGGAGCAGGACTTGGATCTTTATTGGGTTATAATCTAGGTCTCATCACTCGTCAGAGAGTAACTCGTATGCAAGTGACACCTTAGGGACTCCTCACAGTGTGGGCAGGGAGAAGTGGGGGCAGGTCTTTTTGAAGTGGAAAAATGGGGTGAACCTTCATGAAGTCCAACTGTTCAGTTTGCTCGTTGGCCCAAGACTTGGGATTGGCAGTTTTATTTTGAACAAGTTAATTACTACCTCACCTCATAAACAGTTAACTTTGAATTATCCACATGTAGATTTTTCTTTGTTGGGGATGTGCAAACAAATGTAACATTAATCTGCATTGAAAATAAGAGAATAAACGTGTAGCACCAGAAATACAGGCAAGGTCAGAAGTGCTCGCCATCGTAGCTAATGCTCACTGCTTCACTACCTCCGCTGCTCCCCATCACTGGCTATCTATGTCTATCTTCCCCTCTCCAGATGTAATAATGAAACTTCATGGACGATTTTGGCCAACAACGTCTCAAATGTCATCACGGAGATCCACCCCCGAGACCGGAACACAGTGGAAGGCCAAGTGACGTTTGCCAAGGTGGAGGAGACCATTGCTGTGCGATGCTCCGCTAAGAATCTCCTGGGGGCTGAGAACCGAGAACTGAAGCTGGTGGCGCCCAGTGAGTTGCTTATCAGTCAGGACAACTCCAGGTCATCAGCCCAGTCCCTTCCCCCTCAGAAAGAGCTCAGAATCCCACATGGGCTCACAGAGGAATGAAGTTCCCATGGCAGAAATCCAGCTGAATACTCTTAAAGTGACTTCCCGGGCACCTGTGGTGGGCGTGGTGGGCTGCCTTTCATGGGGTGGGGGCTGTCTTTCAGAATGGGGGGCCTGTCTTTCAGAGAGAGGGGGCTGTCATTCAGAGTGGGGGGGCTGTGTTTAGATTGGAGGGGAGGCTGTCTTTCAGAGTGGGATCCCAAAATGTATTCTGCAGAAGCCCCTGGCATTTTGTCTGACAGGACAGCATCCCAATCTCTGTAGTCTCAGTGTGGGGTTAGAGGCTGGGCAAGGTGGGTCTTCTGCCTGCTTGCTCCTTACAACAGCTGAAACAGGTTGAACGTTTTTTAAATAAAAATATTAATGAAACCAAAAGCAATAGAAACAATGCAACCTTTCAATAAACTGAACTTACATGTCTTTTAGTAGCTCTCAGATCCACTTATCAAGCTCTGGGGGACTTGGTGGTGGGTGCAAGATAGTGAGATACCTGAGGGGAGCCTATACTTTCAAAATACCAACAATATTGGAATCCAATATTATTGCAATTAAAAAACTAAAAAAAAATCACAAATGTTATCAAGAACCCCCCCCCGAAATAATTCCAATTTTCATTTTGTCCAGAGCTTAATGTTGGAACATTTTTGGGAAACTGTTATGTTCCTTGAATTGAATTTTGTCCCTTCCAAGAGAAGAGAGGGAGTAGCTTCTTGTGGGTAGATGAGGGCGAGGTGGAACCGCCCATCTAAACGGAGCCAGACAGCCCTGAGACCCCCCCACCAGCAGTGAGACAGTTCTGGTCTAGACTCAACCACAGCGCCTCGCCCCTTCCTGCATGTTCCTGCAAATTCTTCATCTTGCCTCTCTCCTACCTCCAGCTCTGCGTTCTGAACTCACGGTGGCGGCTGCTGTCCTGGTGCTGTTGGTGATTGTGATCATCTCACTTATTGTCCTGGTTGTCATTTGGAAACAGGTAGATATTGTATCAAAGAACGGAAGCCTAAAGATAAAGAACAGCAACCTAATTCAGTGGCCTCAGGAACCACATGCTGAACGAAGGCTGTGGGATCCTGCTTGTGTCATCCCTTTGCTGCAGCGGTTAAGCCGTAATGTACTTGGACTTCAGTAATTCACCACCTGTTTGCCTTGGTCGTTTCTAGAAACCAAGGTATGAAATTCGTTGGAGGGTCATCGAATCAATCAGCCCCGATGGCCATGAATATATTTATGTGGACCCAATGCAGCTGCCTTATGACTCAAGATGGGAGTTTCCAAGAGATGGACTAGTGCTTGGTAAGCCCTCTGGGGTGCCCTCCTGAGACTCCATTTTTGATTTGGCGGTTTTACCCTGCATAGGCCTGTATAGGAATAAGGGATGATTTTTTGATGATTTTTACTTGTGCTTATGGAGAGCTAGGCCTGTCATGATAAGGAGTTAATTGGATCACTGCACTGATTTTTTTAAAAAATCTTGTTCCATAGCAAATTGTGGTTAAAGCAAATTTTACAAAAAGAGAGTCCGAGGAGGACTGCCAAAGAGCCCCATCCATCCAATGGCTTTTCTTTGGATATGACACAACTTGAAAATGAGATGAATTTCTGTAGCTAAAAAGAATCAGATGAGAAATGAACAAGGAAGACCACAACATGTATTTTGATCCATTCTGCATTCTGAAGATATATGAAATATATATAGAATAAATATATTTAGAATATAGGATATAAATATAGATAGTTTGAAGCCAAACATGTAAAAATCATCAAGCTAATTTATCACCAACTTTTCAAATATTTCAATCTTGGGTTGAAACCAAGTACATGAAGCTTTAGTCCAAGAGGTTTTTTTTTTTTTTAAACTACATTCTGAATGAGTGAAAAGAAGACAAAAGCAAGCGAAGGTTAGAGCTAACGGATGAGTCACAGGAATATTCTAACTGTATGTACTTTGAAGGATACCAAAGGCAGGTTTTAATTATTTACCTAACTCATTCCCAAATGTAGTAATTTTAGGTTTTCATAGAGTTCCTTGAGCTGAAATATAAAAGACACTCCCAGTTTCAAATACTTGTTCCTGGGAACCAGGCACTCCCCCCCCCCCCATTTTATAAAAAGGGATGCAGCACTTAACGAAAGCTAAAAAGTAGCACAACCAGTGTGTGGAGAAAGCGATACCCCTAATATGCTCAGCGACATTTCTGTGCATCTCCACTGCTTGGGTTACCCAGTTGCTGGGGAAACAGTCCCTTCTGTGTCTAATTTCCAGCAATGCAGACGTGTAGTCAGAGGTGCTGCTGGTTGCTGGCACCCTTATGAGCTGAGTCTGTCTCTGGGACCTCCCCGTCTTAAGACTGGCCGTTCCGGGGAATATCCCTTGGAGACAGTGAGCTCGTTAAGAGGCGGGACCACAGCTCCACTTCTGTGTCTCGCAGTATGTAGCGAAGTGCTGTGCTCCCAGGCGTGTTTGGCTTTTGCTATTCCTGGTTCTCCTGACAGGCAGCCATGAGCTCAGCTCAGAGTCGACTTCTCCACCCCTGGGAATCAGTGATATCGTGCATACTGAAGTATTTCTGGTGGATAGGGATTTATCAAACCAAAAGATGCCCTTATTTGCATGTGAAAACAGAAAGACAGGGAGCAGGGGGTTAGGTGAGAACCACAGAAAGCAAGTGCCAGGGGCCCTGTCTTGCTTGGCACGTGAGCTGGTAGATGCTCACTCATACCAGGGAGACTGCACCCGCCTTTGTCTCGGCTGGGTTTCCTTTCCCTTGCCAGTGTTTTTTTGACAAAAACCAATTATACTCATTTCCTTCCCTGAGGGCTCAAGCTTGGTTTTGACATGACATCTTGGAGGCATCATTATGCTCACTCCAGACAGAAAACACCCCATCCTCTTGAGGGCTCATGGGCACTGCCATGGTAAATCAAGCTGTGGGGAAGCCTGGCATCTGCCTGGCTTAATGGTTCTGGGTGCCCACAGGTCGTATCCTGGGATCTGGTGCATTTGGAAAAGTGGTTGAAGGAACTGCCTATGGATTAAGCCGTTCCCAGCCCGTCATGAAAGTAGCAGTGAAGATGCTAAAACGTAAGTGTCCCTTCCTTGGACTTTTTTTTTGCACATGCAGATATTATGTGAATTGCTCAAAATCATAGAGAGTAAATGCCAAATTTAGGACAGGACCTTTCGGACACGTTCTCCCCACTCTAGGTTTTATATGCACCCAGACTATTAATTAGGTTTATTTAGATTGTTCTTGTTACTTGTATATTGGGAAATGAGGTTATTTTCAGTGACATTTTTACCCGAAAGGGGAGGGATTAGTTAGCCATTCAGAGTCGAAATCAAGTCACTATTTTTCTTTTAGACTCTTGGTGAGTAAAATGATGCCCAATTACAGGATTCTTCATGCTGTTAGCTTTCTCTGGGAAGTAAGTGGCTCAATTGAACTGACTTGTGGTTTATTTTTTCAACAGCCACAGCCAGATCCAGTGAAAAGCAAGCTCTCATGTCCGAACTGAAGATAATGACTCACCTGGGACCGCATTTAAACATTGTAAACTTGCTGGGAGCCTGTACGAAGTCAGGTGGGCTGCTGACCAGGAGTGAGGTTTCAGAGGACACCTGTGGTTCTCCAGACTCTCAGGCTTTTACCCCCTCACATGCCAGCAAATACCAGTTCCCTGAGTGGAGTTGTTTGGACTCCACAGAATCGATGGAAGCTCTGGTCTTTTCAAGCAGCCTCTAATGCCAGGGCACACAGAGCGATTCGTGGTTTTCTGTTCATTTTCATACCCACCTTCTAACTGGCTTTTGTCCCTACAGGCCCCATTTACATCATCACTGAGTACTGCTTCTATGGGGATTTGGTCAATTACCTGCATAAGAATAGGGACAGTTTTTTAAGCCACCACCCAGAGAAACCAAAGAAAGAGCTGGACATCTTTGGGTTGAACCCCACTGATGAAAGCACACGGAGGTGGGTGCAAACAGACATTGCTTTGAATCACTGGTTTATGAAAAGAACCTTGTTCTGACAGATTTTTGCACCTATAGTTCACGGCGAGGAGGTAGCAAGCCCAGTTCCCCTAACCCAACATCCCCGACATGCTGTAGACACTTAGTGATATTGCGGATTAGATTGTCATGAAGGAAGGCTTTGCTGGTAGGTTTGAATGAGAATTAGAGTTGGAATGATTCTGGAATCACTTAGGACTTAGAAAATCTTGTGAGAAACTGTCTGAGAATCTCCAAACTTGAGATACTTTTCCTGAGCTGATGCTGAGCCTTCAGTCAAGTCCATGACCGGGATCCCCATGGCAGAAACCTTTAAGTTGCTACAAAGATCTCTGTGGATACGAAGTTCTACAAGGTCAGAAAGAACAATGCATTCATTTCATATTTAATTTCTCAAGGGACACGAAATCGGTGCTACATTTCTTGCTAGTAGCAGTCTACTACGTGCCACGTGATTATGTGGCCCAGATTCATGGTCTCTGAATTAAAAAACAGAAGGAATAAAAACAGACTTAATGTCATACATTTTTTCAAACCATAAAGGCAATAGACTCTGAGTTTTATGAGGAGCCCCAGTGTTTTAGACTTGGCTTTTAAAGATGTCTAAGCTCCTATGCAGATATGCAGGCCACGGTCACTGACAACATATAAGTGAATCGATAAATAGTAATAACCATGGTCACTACCATTTGTGCCTAGTGCCTACCAGGTCTCCCTGCCTCCCTGTCCCCCCCCCCCCCCCCCCCCCCCCGCACTTCCCAACTTTGTTAATGCGATTCACTCCCAGCATGAATCATTGTCCTTGTAGGTGGGGGAATCCTTCCTGCCTTCCCAGGAGTTGAGATGATCAGTGAATTTCTGTGATTACTGATGAGTGCTCATCTCCCCAGCTACACCTCCCCCCTTGAAGGGTGTGGGTTGGTTTGCTCCACTCACTTGCCACTTCACGCCCAACACACCACCTTGCATGGTTAGGTCCTGGGCACCATCAGTGAACGTCGAATGAGCTCTCCAAAGGGACACCCTGGCTAAGGTTTCTTTTTCTGTTTCTACAGCTATGTTATTTTATCTTTTGAAAACAATGGTGATTACATGGACATGAAGCAAGCTGATACCACACAGTATGTGCCCATGCTGGAAAGGAAAGAAGTTTCTAAATATTCGGACATCCAGAGATCCCTGTATGATCGCCCAGCCTCATACAAGAAGAAATCTATGTTAGGTAAATACGTCTGCACTCACTCCGTGGGCGCTGTGGGCTTAGTGGAGTGTGGGCAATACAGAAAGTGAGGGAGCTTGGTGCACAGACCTGGCAGGCCACATCGTGTTGAGAAGACAGTCGGCACAGCTGGGTCTGTGGTATGTTTGCATAGGTTTGTGGCCTAGGAATTGAAAAGAAGAAAGAAAGTTAACATTAGGAATTTTCCAGATTTTAAATGTCATCATGTTCAAGATTTATTGATTCTGATGTAATGATCTTCCTTTGTTGTTAAAACATTATTTTAACGAACGTTTGGGGATCACTGATGTATTTTTCCAATGCTCTTACTGGGGCAAAAGGAAAAGTCGGTAATCTTCTATTGGCTCCTAATAAAATTAAAAAAAAAATAATCAAGTCTCTGATACTTGTGAGTTGAAACTCCCTCCTTCTGGCTGTGCCCCTATTCAATTTGTGACAGAAGCTGGAAAGTAGACAATTTGAGATTTTATTTTCTGATTGTTTTGGGTGTTTCTATTGAATGTTGTTTGGAGGAGGACTGGTCTGTTTTCAAAGCAGATGAGCACGTGGCAGGGTTGAATTGATTTAGAAACACCAGGGAGCCTAGCTGATGCCCAGAGCAGATGGACCACCCGCCTCTTCTTGGGGGTGGCCGCTCCAGGGTTCTAGTCTAATCACAGGCTGGGGGTGGGGCAGGGGCTGCCGGGTGGGTCTGTTCTCATCTTGTGCCATCATCCTCTATTATTGAGTCTGAACCCTCCCATTGCCAATGGGGAAAAAAAAAACAAACATGTTTAGTGGCCATGGAAATCATTTTGAAAATCGCTGATGTGCTCTAAATGATTTCAGCGTTCTTCAATGAAAGGTACAATCCACTCAAGAAAGAATGGGGTTGTTTTGCAAAGTGCAACACACAATAATATTTTCCATGGCTGCAGCTCCAAGTTCCATTCACTTCTCATTGCCAAATGGGTAAACTTCCAAGCCCTTTTAAAGATCCACCAACGAGGGTTGTCGGAACCAATGCTTCCTCTCCCTTCCTGAGTTGTTAAAAATAGTTTACATTGCTTCCCATGCTGGACCTGGCTCCAGATGTCAGGGGAGTCTGATTCATGCTCGACCCAAGCCTGTTGGCAGGCAGACCGCTGCTTTCTGGCCTTCCCCTTGCTGGCTGGAAAAATGTGAATGGCTGCAGCTCGTCTTCACTTGCCTGAACTTTTTCAAAAAACAGAACTACTGGCCTAGATTGCCTCCTTCCTCGAAAACCCTGGGACCCTTCCAGATGGGCCTAACTGAGGACAGCGGACACACTGCACACAAAGGAGCTAAATGCAAAGTCAGTGGCACAGACCTCAGGATTTCTACCTCGAATCTGACTAGTAGTTGGTTGATGCACAAAGTAAGTGCAGCACTAGGATAGTGGCTTTAAAAAGAAAGGAAGAAAAGCAATCCCTGAAGTTACTTATTCAAAGAGGCTTCATATTTATTCATCTTGGATGATGTATGTGTGTGTCTGATACACGTACATTTAAGCCAGGTATGTTTCTGCAGATATATTTCTTTTTAAAATAGCACTTTTACATAGTTTACATATACCTACCCGTGTGGTCTAGAAAGCCTGCAAGAAAGTAATTTCAGATAAGCCTCTGCATCCTGACCCGGGGCACGGCCCTGCGGGGTGTCACAGCGGGTGAGGTTTCATGCTGGTCGCCATCACTGACACCCATAATTCCATAACTCCTGTAATTCCTTTTTTTCTGCAGACTCAGAAGTCAAAAACCTTCTTTCAGATGATAACTCAGAAGGCCTTACCTTGTTGGATTTGTTGAGCTTTACTTATCAAGTTGCCCGTGGAATGGAGTTTTTGGCTTCAAAAAATGTAAGTGTGTTCAGGGAACAGACCACTTCACACCCAGGCCACAGATGGCTGAGGATGAGAAGCGTGGAAGATAGATCTTAGCAACAGCTGCTTCTCTCTTCTCCCTGCAGAGCAGGGAATCTGATCATCACCAGGTGTCTGCTCCTCCAGAACTTTCTTCCTTTGGGAGTGTTGGGGATGAGCGCCTGGAGAAGCGAGCTCTTTATTCCACGATGGCCTCCCTGCCTCCTGCAGTGGCCTGTGAGGCGGGGTGGCGGCTGTCCAGTGGCAGATGGATGGCTTCGACGTTGTTTCTTTCCTTTCCTCACAGTGTGTACACCGGGACTTGGCTGCTCGCAACGTCCTCCTGGCGCAAGGGAAGATCGTGAAGATCTGTGACTTTGGCCTCGCAAGAGACATCATGCATGATTCTAACTACGTGTCGAAAGGCAGTGTATGTGTACTCTCTTATCAGCTTGTTCACCCTCCCTCATTTGAATCTCTGAAATCAGGTGTTGCTGGTAATCATTCGGTGCCCTCCTCTTTTATACGCACACACACACACACACGCACATGCACACACACTCATATTTGTGCCTTTTTCCACCTCAGTTGTGATCCCTGTGGACTTCCCATCACCAGGTCACCCGTATGCCATCACCACAGTCCAGTGTACTTCCCTCCCATTCCATTATTATTATTTTTCCCTTGGTTCTTTATGCTTCTGCTATGAGTGAAACCATCTGGTATTTTTCTTTTTCTTTCTGGCTTATTTCACTAAGCACGATCCCTTCCAGTTCCATCCATGTTGCTGCAAAAGGCACGAGTTTGACTTTTTGATGGCCGAGTAATATTCCACTGTGTATTTGTATCATGTCTTTTAAACCCAGCCATCCACTTTTGGTGGTGCCCTCCTTTTTTAACAAGGCACTCCCGGGAAGTCAGCTCAAAGTGCACAAGCTGTGGCCACGCTGGCTGGGTGTGAGCACCATCTCCAGTGCTTACTAGTGGGCAAGTTAATGGGACATTGTGCCAGGGTTCCTACCTGAGCGGGGAAGTGATAATAGTGCTTATCTTCTGTGCTGCTGTGTGGGGGTGAGTCAGTGAGTCCATGTACAATGCGTAGGGTGCTCTAAGCACCCAGTAGGGGTGAGCTCTTAGTATGTATAACATGCATACATGTGCATGGAGTCTCTAGCGTTCATCAAATTTCAAACGGCATCTTGACCCCTAAAATAGTAAGACCATTTGAATTGTATATTTTAGAGGTACTGTATCCTTAAAAACAGTCATTTTCTCTTACACTTTTGGCCTACCCTTCCCCCTTCCAACTCTAAGCAGATGAAGAGACTTAGGTTACAACTATCATGTAAAGGAACAATTCTAACCCCATGACTAGTAGTGAGACAGCTTTTGGGGTCCTGCACCCTCAGAGAGAGGATCTGGCCCCTGGCCAGTTCCGTGTGCTTCATGTACAGAGTGGACTTGACCTGTAGGTTGAGGCACCTTGAACATATCCTTGGGCTTTGGTGAAGTCCCGTTTTCTCACCTGTTTACAAAGGTGATGATTGGTTACCTCCCAGTCATTGAAGAGGGCTAGAGGATGCCAGTGTGGAAACTTGATGTGTCTGCCTCAGTTTACTATTTCCACTGAAGGTGGGGCCACCTCACGAGAGTCAGCAAAATGATCAGAATGTCAGAGTAGCAGAAGGAAACAACTTTTTTTTTTTTAAAGATTTATTTATTTATTCATACAGAACTGGGGTACAGGCCAGAGATGCGGAGGGTGAGAGGATTCACCAGGAACAGAGTGGGGAACAGAACAGGCAGATCGATGAAGTACACTGCTGAGGGGAGCAGCAGGCGGGTCAGGAGAGGTTTGCCATGCCACGTGGATCACCTCCGGGGCAGGCGGGGATCAAACTCATGCGGAAGTGGCTTAAGCTTCTTAGTGCAGTGCTTTAACCCGCTGCGCCACCAGGGAGTGCCGGAAACAACTTTTTTTAAAAAGTTCAAAAATGTTTTATTGGCTCTTAGATCACTGGAATAGTTCTTAATTGTGCTATTAGGAACTCCTGAAAATAGGGGCAGGTTGATTCTGAGCTCACATGGAGATGGTCCATATTCAGGATTAAGTACTTGTAGATGTTATTCCTTGGGAGGGTGTAAGAGACAACACTGACCCTTCATCACTCACCCAATATTTATCGAACACCCACTAGGAGCCCCGGCAGCTTCTGAGAGCACAGCCACTGAGCAAACCACGCAAAAGAGACACGTGTGAGAGGCAGGTTCTTCGTGCAGCCATGGTTAGCCCAAAGAAAACCCCTTTCTTGTTTATGCTGCAGTAGAGCAGAAGGCGCTGCAGGTGTGTCCACTGGGTTTAATTTCTTCCCTCCTTCCCTGCAGACATTTCTCCCCGTGAAGTGGATGGCTCCCGAAAGCATCTTCGACAACCTCTACACCACACTGAGCGACGTCTGGTCCTACGGCATTCTGCTCTGGGAGATCTTTTCCCTTGGTACGGTTGCTTGTTTAGAGTGTTCACACCATGGGAAGGGAAACACTGCTTTTCCCAGCTCCAGGTTATAAGCAATGCTCAGGTGCCCTGTGGTCATTGACATCACATGCTGGCACCACGCATGTCTGGTGTGTGCAGGTGCATTGGGGGGGATGCACCCTCTTCCTGGCCCTTTCCCCTCCTACACCTCAGCACTCTCCCACTGGAAGTGTAGACAACAGCTCTCATTGGCTGCTGCTTCTCCTGGCTTTTGGGCTAAGGGAGGAAACTCTCAGGAGTTTCTGCTTTCTCTCTTCGTGCGCCTGGGTGCTCAGGTGGAAAGTAGTGTGGTCAGGAAAGGTCATCTGTCTGGAGGAGCCCTCTTCGTCTCCCACTGACCAAGAGGATGTTGTTCAGTGGCCACATCCTGAACAACACAGGTGCCCAGGCTGCCCAGTGGGGGTGGGGTAGCCTTGGCCCCGACTTTGGGCTGTTCCCCCAGGGAGCTAGGACTTAAACACTTAATGAGAAACTGGGGTACTGATTTACAATAGTAGTGGCAGTTTTAAAAAGGGGCTTTGAGGTAGTTTTACAACTAAACTAGAGTTGGCCTTGGTTATAAAAACGTGAAACATTCCATGAATTTACTTTTACCCTGATGTGACGGTAAAAGGAATGTTCCCTGATGTTCTCCCCTCTCCCTTTCGCTTTCCTCCGTCATGGGTTTATACATTGCTTTTTTGGAGGTGCGAGATTTCCTATCCTAGTCCCTTCCCCATACGCCACTAACAGCATAGAATTAGCTAGCAGTCAAGCTGCAACTTTGACTTTTGCTTTAATCATTTGAATTTCTGGTGAAAATGACCCTGGGCCTCAATGATTCAGGATTTCTCTTGCTTTTCTATTTTGTTTTGTATCTGGAGACCCAGTAGCAGCAGCACTGAAAAATACTTCAGTGCTTTTTCTAAAGATGGAAAATGTTTGCTTACACATGTAGATGTGACTGACTTAGAAATCCTGATTAAACTTCAGTTTTTGAGGTCAAGGAGCCAACGTTTAGTTTACTTGAAAAAATAATACTTCAAGGTGGGGTTCTCCAGTATGTCACCCCGGGTGCTCTAGCAACATTCCACATCCTTATTAGTCCTTTGACTTTCAGGCGGCACTCCCTACCCTGGCATGATGGTGGATTCTACCTTCTATAATAAGATCAAGAGTGGGTACCGGATGGCCAAACCTGATCACGCCACCCGGGAAGTGTGAGTGTCCACCCCTTCCCATGGGCCTGTGTCCCCTGTGGGTCTGTGGCCCCGTGGGTCTGTGGGGGCAAAGTGATGGGACTCCTGACATGCCTGCCAGTGCCCACTCTGAGTTCTGTGCTTCTCCAGCTACGAGATCATGGTGAAGTGCTGGAATAGCGAGCCAGAGAAGAGACCCTCCTTTTACCACCTGAGTGAGATTGTGGAGAATCTGCTGCCTGGACAATATAAAAAGGTTGGTCTGGGCCCCTTGAGAGGGTGGGCAGGTACGAGCAAAGGGAGAAGTCAACCTCTGGCAGGTAAGCCAGCGAGCAGCACTGTTCAATGCTGTTTCAAAGGCCGCTTTCAAAGGAGGAGAGAGACTGTGTGATCCAGTGGCTGTGGCTCCTGGGATCGCTCCCCTGGCCCCTGGCCACCATGATGAATGAAAACCCTCCCTCCCCACATGCTTCCCTTTCATCTTAAGTGTGCAGCACCTGTAAGCACTTTATTCTCCAGATGTCTGAGTATCCGAAGCTACTGTGCACTTAGAAGTCTCAGGGCAGCCTCAGTCATTAAATAGCTAATTTGAATGCACTTAAATCCATGTGAAATTGGCTTTTACCAGCTGACTGGAAGGAAAAACCTCAGCTGTTATCTGTGGCTCCAGCTGGTTTTATGTGGAATAGGAAGCATTGTTCAAAGGAACAAATGTAATTTCATGGAACCAAGCAGGATCTATTAATGAATGAACCAACTTTCTGCTGAGATGCTGAGGAGGAAACCCACACAAACTTGTATAATGAACTCGACTTCTTAGATTCGGACTACTTTGTCGATTTCTTTTTCATACATATGGTTTCCACTCAAGGAGGTACAGTGTTAGGAGGCCCCATGCTGGACTGGAAGTTAAACCCTTTTGTCTATTGATTATCGCACTGCCTCTTACACTAATACCTCAGCTGAAGGAAATTAACTTTAGGTCAATCAGAGATGCTGTGGTTGGTGAAGATTGTTGGTGGGAAATGGTTGAAACTTTGAAAAAGCAGTTACTTTAGGCCCACGGTTCCTAAGTTTTGCGTTAGATTTCTCTGATGTCTGGAGATCAGGAAGGCTTGGGGTGTGGTGCACACAGTGGGAACCCACACCTCTTCCTACTGGGACTCATCCAAGTCCAGGTGGGACAATGTGACAGGTCCGTGTTGTTCCCAGGGAGTGTGTGTAGGTATGGGGGTTCAATTGTAGCCTATCGAGAAAGGCTATGACTTCTAGGGGAGAAAGGCTTTTGGTATCCTGGGATCTACCAGCAGGGGAACTTTGCCATTGGTGGCCCTTTCTTTATGTCCCAGCTCTCCCTGGACAGTTGACATCTGGCTCTTCTTCAGTTGTCTGAATCTCACGTCTGTGAGGTTGTTGGGAAACATAGTTAAGTAACAGTAAGTTCTGAGCAACTAATCCCCTTTTGTGTCAGCTTCATTAACTGTGTGAAATAAATGTTTGTAGAGCTATGAAAAGATTCACCTGGACTTCCTGAGGAGCGACCATCCAGCTGTGGCACGCATGCGCGTGGACCCCGACAACGCCTACATTGGTGTCACCTACAAAAATGAGGAAGACAAGCTGAAGGGCTGGGAGGGTGGCCTGGACGAGCAAAGGCTGAGCGCGGACAGTGGCTACATCATCCCTCTGCCTGACATCGATCCTGTCCCGGAGGAGGAAGACCTGGGCAAGAGGAACCGACACAGGTGGATGTTGGGGGGGTGATCAGCCTCTTTCCCATCTGCTCACCTCAAGGAGGAGCCAGGGCGAAGGCCCTGAAAGTTGAGGTGCTTTCTCTGGGTGGTGGGTCTGTTACTGGGGGGCTGCATTGCCAGCTGCACCCATGGCCATTCTGTTCCCCTATGGGTTGGGCTGAATCAGTCCTACGCGTCATATGATTTCATCCAGCATGTATCTCTAGAAGATTAATCTCTATCTTAAAAAGTAACTACAGTTATAAAAGCACTACAATAAGGGCCCTTCCTGGTGGCAATTCGGGTTAAAGCACAGCACTATGAAGCTCTCTGAAGCCACTGCAGCATGAGTTCATTCCTGACCAGGAAGCTGACCCACATGGCATGGCAGAGCTCTCTGACCAGCTGGCTGCTCCCCTCAGCAGTGTATTTCAGTAGATCTACCTGTTCTGTTCCCCGCTTTGTTGCTGGTGAATCCTCTCACCCTGGCACCTTCGGCCTGTTCCCCAGTTCCTGTAAGCGTAAATAAATAAATCTTAAAAAAAAAAAAACAAAAAACACCTCAATAAGGGGCCCTCCCTGGTCACCCAGGGGGTTCAAGCACAACACTGTGAAGCTCTCCACAGCCATTGCAGCACCAGTTTGATTCCCATTCAGTGAGGTGACCCACTTGGTGCAGCAGACATCTCCCATGAAGCTGCTGCTCCCCTTAGCAGTGTTATTTCTGTAGATCTGCCTATTCTGTTCCCTACTCTGTCTCTGGCAAATCCTTTCAGCTCCCTGCCACACAGACATCTGGCCTGCATCTCCATTCTTGTGTGCATAAATAAATAAATCTTAAAAAAAAAAAGTACTACAATAGGGCCTCCCTTGTGGCCCAGGGGGTTAAAACACAACACTGTAAAGCTATCCAAAGCCATTGCACCACGAGTTTGATCCCCAGCCAGGGAGCTGACTCACATGGTGCAGAGGACCTCTTCCTGACCAGCCTGCTGCTCCCCTCAGCAATGTATTTAGGTAGATCTCCCTGTTCTGCCCCTCACTCTGTCTCTGGTGAGTCCTCTCACTGCCCCCCACCATGCCCCTCTGGCCTGCACCTCAGCCCTTGTGTGCATAAATAAATAAAATAAATCTTTAAAAAACTTGTTAAAAAAATACTACAATGCCATTATCTCACTCCCAAAATTGACAAAAAGCTGGGCATTGTGGCCTGGGAGCCTAAAGTAAGCTCAGGCATCAACTTTTGGAGCCACTGTGAAGCTTGCCAGGCAGGCCAGGGTTATCTAGTGCTGAGGCTAGGTGGAAATCAACTCCAGCAGCCACACCCCTGCCTTCTCTCTGTGGTTGGATTGACAGAGAAAGGAATATGCCAGGTATGGGGTGGAAGGACACGTGTCGGGAAGACTGGTCCCGGAAAATGGGTCCAGCGGTCCAAATCAGTGTCCAAGGGAGTGTCATAGATGTAGGTCCTGGGTGGGTTGGGCTCAGGATCCAAGGGGTGACACAGGCCTCCAGCCAGTGGCAGGACTCAAGGGCAGGGATGACCGCCTCAGGGAATCATCCTTGTTCTTATCAGAACTAGCCCAGTTGGAGACTAGCCACGTGGACTCTGGTTCACAGTGAGGCTCCTGGACAGGGGTGTAGGTGAGGCCGGGTGGATAACAAAGGCTCAGGGCTTGGCCTGCTGCATGGTGCAACCCTTGCCTTAGGTTCTCTTCCACAGGATTGAGTGGCAAAGGTAGAAGCCATCTCAGATCACTAGCAACTTTGACGATTTAAAAGATTTGGTAGAAGGGGAGGGAAAATAAGATGTGGCAATGACCTGTGGATCTTGGAATTGCACAGGGCCCAATGCAGTGTGGAAGATGATGAGTAGCCGAGCTGTAGCAGAATCGTGCCAGAATGGGCAGTCTGAATTTGAACAACCAAGGTTCTGCTAAGACGAGCTCTTTTATTTGGGGGGCTGCCCTAGAGATAACACTGCAGTCTGGTTGTTGACCTTTTTCCTTTTCTCCCTCCTCCAGCTCGCAGACCTCAGAAGAGAGTGCCATTGAGACAGGTTCCAGCAGTTCAACTTTCATCAAGAGAGAGGATGAGACCATTGAGGACATGGACATGATGGAGGACATTGGCATAGACTCCTCGGACCTGGTGGAGGACAGCTTCCTGTAACTGGTGGGCTCAGGGCTCCCGTCCACTGCTGGACCCACTTGGGATCCCTTTAAGAAAACCACTTTATTGCAATGCAGAATTTGAGAGGACTTGGATGATGTGGCCAGAGAAGTTCCTGGCCAAGGGCCTTGGGGAACTTTCTAAATATGAGCAAGCAGATTGTTCTGAAATGAACTCTTCGAGCATTGCCTCTTGCAATGCTTTCAGTAGCATCTCAGTGGTGTGCGAAGACTGGAGGTAGATGGACAGGAAATACTAGGCCATGAAGATGAACTTCGTGGTTCAAGTGCATTGGTGAGATTCCAACATACACAACTTTGACCGCAATGAACTCCAGCGTTGTAATTATGTAAATAACTCTAACCAAGGATGTGTTTCGATTTGTATTAACTATCTTCTCTGGACTTCTGGAGAGACCACTCAACATGTACTTCCTGCTCGAAACCTGGTATCAGCTGCTGTTGAACTTTTTTATGAAGTACATGCAAAACCACTTTTGAACCTTAAGAACCTTAAAAGGTACTGGTACTATAGCATTTCACATTTTTTTTTTTAGCGTAAAGAGATAAAAGATAATAATTAACCAATTTTGTTTAATAGATTTGGGTTACTTAGAAACCCAACAATTCATTTTCCTATTGTAATCTACGTTTATAATCATACTACTGTTATCAGTAATGCTAAATCTGTAATATCTAACATGTTTTCCCTACAGAGAAAGCACAATTAAAAAAAAAATCCCTTACTAAGTAGGTGACCAGTTTGACAAGTTTTGACATTTATATTAAATAACATGTTTCTCTATTAAATATGGTAATAGCTTTAGTGGATTAAATTTAGTTGAACAAAGAGGACAAGTAGCGTTTTCCAGGAAGTCAATGTTTTTAACTGTGTGCTGAGGAGGTTATCTAATCTCTTGTACTGCAAACAATGAACTGCCCTCTGAGGTAATCAGATTCAAAATGAACAAACAAAGCCCCCAAACCCTAAATGTTTTCAACAGGGAGTCTAAGTTTATGCCTAACATGATTCCCCATATTATTACCCCATGGAAAATGCATTTGTCAGCAAAGAGTGAATTTTCAGAGGTTCCTTCCATGCCTGGTGGTAACGTTTGTGGCCCCAAGTGTAGCTATGTGTTTAACTCGATAAGCTTGGCCAGGGTCACAGGATGAGCTGGGCTTCAGCCGCACGTCTTCCACCATCTCTTACCCTAAAGAGAAAGAACTTGAAATGCTGAGGTCATAAAATGCATTGTTTAGAGAAGGCTGTGTGTGCCTTGGCCTGGGTTCTGGGTTCCCCAATGTAACCTGGCATCCAGGTCTGGGTACCCACCCCAAATATTCTGACCTGTTGTTGGGGGAAGCAGGAATCTGTTTTTATAAACTCATTGGACTGAATCAGGTTTGGGAAATACCGGCTTAGGTTACAGGAAGTTACCCTGGGAAAAAAGTAATTTGAAATTTGGAAATGGGCTAAAAGTCAACCATGCAGGAAGCCTACTAGTTAAATCCTTGGCTCCAGATCAGTGACGTTTAGTACTCTATTTCTAACAATTACTACTCTTAATTTAATTTTGCAGTCTTAGCAGAGGCTGAATAAGCTAAATCTTGGTTTGGCAGTTCTTCTAAAAGTAAAGACACTGCTTCCCACTGCAGGGAGGACCGAGCTTGTCTATCCCAGGCCTGCAGCACTCATGAAAAGGCCTGCACCAGAATGATGCAAGTCCGATTGTGCGGGCTCTGTAAAACAAGGTCAATATTTTACTGAAAATAATTTGAAAGTGTTGCTGAAATTTTGGGGTTAGCTAGGAGGACACATTGTCACTTCCACCCCAACCGTCAGCATGACTGGTGTGGGTTCATTGACATTCTTTGCGATACCGTTTAATTGCCGACACCACATGAATGAAACATGGGCTGTGATTATGGCAATCAGTGTGTGTGCTTTTGCCAGGTGATGCTTTGGAAGATGTAGAAGCAATAACAAGGTACTTGACTACCTACTGGTGTAATCTCAATGCAAGCCCTGACTTTCTTATCCACCTTTTTCATAGTAAGTGTAAAGACTGAGCCAGATTGGCCAATTAAAAGAGAAAACCTGACTTAGTTCTGTCAGGCCAATTAGACTTGAAATACATTTGTGTTTCTAGAATCACAGCTCAAGCATTCTGTTTATCACTCACTCTCCCTTGTACAACCTTCATTTGTTGGTGCTTTGCATTTTGATTTACTGTGATGTTTTGCCTGATGTCATGAAACTGGATGAAAATTCTCAGACCAGCAGGATTCCGTCCTATTAAATGCCCTCATCTAAGTTTGTGACTGTACTTTTTTTTTTCTAAAAAAACTGTTTTCAATATATCACAGATTTATTTCCCTTTTGGCCTCTTGCAAAGTCCCCAGGTAAAAACTTGTCAGGCCCTCCTTGCTTTTGATTTTTATGAAGACAATCAAAACTGACCTGAGAAACACAATTTGTGACTTTCTAAATGATCAGTGATGTCCTTAAAATGTGGTCTACCAATCTGTACAAAATGGTCCTATTTTTGTGAAGAGGGACGTAAGATAAAATGATGTTATACATCAATATGTATATATGTATTTCTATATAGACTTGGAGAATACTGCCAAAACATTTATGACAAGCTGTATCACTGCCTTTGTTTATATTTTTTTAACTGTGAGTTTCCCCACAGGCACATTAACTGTTGCACTTTTGAATGTCCAAAATTTATATTTTAGAAATAATAAAGAGAAAAATACGTAAGTGTTCCCAAAACAGTGGTGTGGTGAATGTGTGAGAAGAGCTAACTGGCTAAGAAGGGTCTACCAATACAAATGTATTCTACATGCCCCTGCTCATGTTTTTGTTTGAAAATGTGTAAATGAAGATCTTTATATTTCAATAAATGATATATATAATTTAAAGTTATGCGAAGGTTTCAGTATTTTTGTTTTTGCTTCATCCTATTAAGCAATTGTGCTTAATTTACTGTCTTCCCTTTCAGTGGGGTATTGAATTTTGGTTTTGATGATATCAGTAGGAAATTCAAGATTTAAACATTATTGGTGAGCCACCCTGGGGGCTGAGGGGTTAAGTCCCAGCAATGTCACAGCCTGAGTTTGATCCCCAGCCACAGCGGAGCTGATCCACATGGCACAGTAGACCTCTCTTGTTTCACCTGCTGCTCTCCTCAGCAGTGTATTTCAGGGATCTGCCACTGTGTCTCTGGTGAATCCTCTCATCCCCTGCATCTCTGGCCTGCACCCCAGTTCTTCTATGCAAAACCAAAACAAATCAAATACAAACATTACTTGATCTAGTTGGTTAGTTTTCAGACACAGCAGTTAACTCAAAGATGATTCACACTTGGCTCATCTTTGGCTTGATCTTTTATTTATTGTAATAACATTTGATTGCAAGATTTCTCTTTCTCTAGAAAAGGAGTACAGGATTACCTTTCTCCTGAGAGCATTCAAACATTGTCAAGGTGCAAAACTAAAATGTTAGCCTTTTTTTATTTACTGTTAAATGTTTCTTTTATTTCACATATGTATTTACTATAACTCATATGTTTATATATATTTTGCATCATTTTTCATGTCTGTACAGTGTTGCTTTCTCCTCTCAGGTGTAGTCCCCGTAGAATTCCCACAAGTCACCTGCGCACCATCGCCATAGTCCCTTGTGCCCACCCCTGTGCTGGCCTCTCCCCCGTCCCTGCTGAGTGCCTCTGACTGATATCCCTGTCTCCTTCTGTGCCCCTGTCCCACCCCACGGGCAGAACTGCATCACTGGGTGTGTGTGAAACCTGTTCAGCCCCTTTCTGTGTGCCTGCTTATATGCACATCTCTATTTCATGCTTCGTAAATTCCCAGGATGGGATTGCACTTATGTAATAACTTATAATGTACTTATTTCCTTACCTTTTTAAAACAATGGGCATTTTTTTCCTTTTGTTAATTTTTTTTTTTTTTTACATTGTTGTTCCTATTTTGACAGTGTTTGACTTCTTCCCTCCGGCACAGTCCTTGTATTTATCCCAACTCCACCCTAGCACCATCGCCTCGGTCCCTGTGCTCTGCCCTCCCCATTTTGATTCCTTTTCCTCCCCGCTCTGCTGTGTGTTCAGATCTATAGTTGTCTGTAAGTTTTGAAAATAGACTTTATTCTATTTTTTAAAAATAATGTAATAGTTTATTTTTACATCATTTGGTGCCTTTTTCCATCTCAGTTGCAATCCCCATGGGCTTCCCATCACCAAATCACCCATGTGCCATCACCATAGGTCAGTGCATTTCC